TAAAACTAAATTTGAAATTTCAGTTTAATCCTTATTTGTATCTTTGTCATTGGTAATGCCAGCTGGTTCACCAAGCTCATCTATCAGCTTTTTTATGGTTCAACAGGTAGGACTATATTCAAGTTTTGCAATTCTGGTTAACAGTAATTTTCTATTTTCTACAGTTTTAATTGTTTTTGAACTTGAATGGTGTATTTTTTAAATTTATGTTTACTGATAGCTTAATTTGTTTTGTTTAGCTTCTATAGATTATTCATCTGGACGAAGGGATTGCAGCACATGTGGTAGCACAGAATACAGCGTGACTCAAAATGATGACCTGAAATTCGGCATTAATGTTTCTTTTTTCGCTTTCTTCATTTTCCTCTTTCGTTTTTCTTTCTATTTTTAAAGTGCTTTTACAGTACAGGTTTCTTAATGCGATTTCTTGGTTAACTGTTCTATTCATAACCACTTATTTCAGAGATTTCCAATTTTTGAACCTTCTCCGCTGCTCGATGACTGTTTAAGTATGGTAAATGCATCGTTCAAAGAAAATATAGTCAGTAACTTTTGATTAGATTATGTTGTTTAAGTTGCAAATTATTTTGATAAATTGGTACTCATTTCTGAAACAAAAAATGCAGATATATCATGTTGTTAATGCAGCATACTGCTCAGAGTCAAGTGCTATTTATTACTAGTTTTTTTTTTTTCAAATAATAGTTTTTTATTTTTAGACAGTAGTAAAAATTGAGGATGATAAGGATGAAAAAGTGACAGTAAGTTGTGAAGAGGTATGGAATCGTGGAAGTTACGAAAATAGAGGAGAAGACAATTTTTCAGTTGCTCATATTAGAATTGTCTACAAGGTTAATTACTGAGTTTACTGTATAATTTTTCATAAATTTTTCAAGTTTTTTTGTTTTTTTTCTATGTTTAAGCTAAAGCAACAAAAAATAACAAAAATATTTCAGGATTATCATCTTCAAGAGTTAATTTTAAATCTACTTTATTCAACCACCAATGTTTTTTGCTATTCAATTGACAAAAAAGCTTCAGCAATTTTCAAAGAGCAGATGTACAATCTGTCACAGTGTTTTCCCAATATTCACATCGCATCAGTGGAGTATCAAGTTGATAGTGCTGGCCACAATATGGACCGTGCTTTTCTCTCTTGTATGTCATTAATTCGCAAGATTCCACATTGGCAGTATGCGATAACTATGCAGGTAAAAATTTTGGTTTCTAATTGTAATTTTCAAGCACATTTGTAGGTTTTGTAAGTTTTAAATAATTGAAGTAGTGTAACTGTATTATAGAATCATGACATGCCGATAAAAACTAACGAAGAGATGTTGGCTATTTTGAAAGTATTGAATGGTAGTAATAGCATCGACCTTGTTCAACCATTTTCCTCACGTATACCAGATGATAGAGATTGGTCGTTTAAAGCCCTTCAACTTTTTAAGAGTTGGTGCTTTTTTCTCAACAGAATAGCAGCGAATTGTAATCATACAAAAATTAAAAATTTCTTCTCTTTGCTGCTGTCAAAATAAGACTTTTTGAAGAATTTGCTTCGATAAAAACAGGAGAGCTGTTAGCTGCAGAAACTGCAAGATATTAGATGCGTTTTGTTGAGTAAAGCACAAATACTAACTAATTATAAACATAGATATGAGTTCTTTTTCGTTAATTAGTTAACGTATTCTTTTTGGTTATTCACTTAGATTTAGTACAATATAATAACTATTTTATAGTCAGTTTTTTGAAGACATTTTGTGGGATTGATAAGATAAGCTGCGCAGCTTATTATGTTAGTTTCTGACCTCTACCATTTTTTAAATCTAAGCATAAAACTAAAGACGATTTTCAGGTTTTATTTTGTAAGATGCATTACTTGTTTAATGATCTGGCAAAAAAAGTTACTGCAATAAGGAAGCAAAACTGAGATAAGAACTACTTTTTGAATAAATTAAATGGGAGGTGGCAAGAGAAGTTTTACCAATAATGCTGCAGTGGGTTAGAGTTATTCTGCTACGTTAAAGCAAAAAATCTTCTTGTTTTACTTGTCAGATACACTTCGCTGCTTCTATAATTTACAACTCTATACAGAACTGTAACTCATCAAGCTGAAAACAATCAACACAACTTGATAAAATATTTTTAGAGTAATTTATCTAAACCTTCTGAATGTTGATTAGAATATAGCTGCAGTAAAGCACTATTAAGAATTAAAGACCTTGCTGAAGGACTGCATTTGAACTTTAGTAAAAAAGTTACTGCTGTTGACAGGAATGCTAGGCTGTGTTTGTGAAATTTTATGAGCAATTCAAAAATTCAGATTTAAAATTTGCTGTATTTAACTTACCAAGAATTTACTTTACTGACTACCATTTTTTAAGAAAGTTTGAGTTATAAATCTGTGAAATAATGTGTAGTTCACGGTATGTAAAAGCCGCTCAAAAAAAATATTGATCTTTAGTTTCCTTGCTTTGTTACTTTAACAAAATGTTAAATTATTTGTCGTTGACTTGTACCAAATCATATTCATTTCTGCGCTTTTGAAGGACGATTTTGAACTGCAACAAAGTTGTAGCATGTTGGAATAGAAAAAAGAAAGTTTATATTTCTTAGTAAATAATTTTAAATATAAACATTTATATGTATATATATTTTTTTTACCATGATAAGGCAGGCAGTTTGACAGTATTATGCAACGGTGATACTAATGTTTTCTTAAGAAACCAGCTTTTCAAAATTTCTATTTGTATCTACCAATCCTGAACAGCGTTTTTTTTATAGCTAAACTTAAGAACATTAGAAGGTTTGGCTAGATTACTTCATAGAAGTTTTAACAAATAGCAATGACCATCTGAATGACCGAAAAGATGATCGAATTTATCTACTGTCTTCCTTTTTCGACTCATTTCAAGACACCCAATTCTTCATCACGAGCAGCAATTTTGTTCGAAAACAAATTAGACAAAATTTCCTGAGAAAAACCTTTGTATTGTTAAACACTAGTCTTTCGCCGCAGTCGGGCAAGCTCGTGAGATATATACTATTCCATTTTACTTTCTTTCTCACTGTACGTGGTGCTGATCAGTTTCTAAAACTAGAAATTCTATTCTTGAAGCTATATGCAAGTAATGTTTTCGCGCCAGTCTCAACAACTGCTCTTGATTTCTGATACTCATAGTAAGACAGTTTAACTGGAGAGCTCTAACTTTTAAAAAATCCACCTTTGTTTGTGAATTTAGCAATTCATAAGAACACAGCCTAACATTTTGTAAAGGTATGCCAAAATATTTATTGACTTGTCAGCTGGCCATAGAAGCACTGCTTACTTTTTTTCCAACGACAACGACTGTAGTAAAATAGATGGATAGTTGTAATTTTATAAGATATATGAAATTTCTGGGTAGCTTAGTTTGAGAAGTTGTAGAATAAAATGGTAGTGTGGTAAAAAAAGAGTCGGCAATGATGATTTTACCATACAGATCGTAAACTACTCTCTTCCAAATACGCTTTGTAAATGGGAAAATTTAATAGTAAAATTTTAACTTGTCAGACCTTAATAAACTAGCTTATTTGACAATCTTTTTAGATACGTCTGCAAACGACGATAGAGTTTTACAAATCACCAAGGGAAACGTAGGATCTGTTCACTCAAGGCAATTTGTAGAGTTTTTGATTGACAAAATTAATTCCACTACGTTTTTGTCACGTTTTGATAAAGTTATTTATGGAAATGATGAATTATATTTTCCAACACTTAACGCAGACGATAATGTTGGTAAGTTCAAAATGCATGAAAAGATATTGGCTGTAAGCTCTTTGTTTTTTCATAGTACTTTCGAGAGCAGCAAATTGGATAACTGAAGGTGCCAATTTTAGATGCGCCTGGTGGGTACACAAGACGATGCATCGGCAAAAACAGTGGTTACATAGGAAGGTTTGTTGTCCATTGAACTTACTTTTTAACCATTTTAAATTCGCTCAATCTCTGTGCGGAAAGCTTAGTGTAATATTCCTGAAAATCTTTTTTGTCATATTTGAATTTATCTATTGGGTTTTGTTCCCAAAATTTGGCTTTTTAAATATATTTAGTCTATAGTGTACTTAAGCTACCCAACAGCAGATTGAAATCATCGACCATCAAGCTTACTGCTTCTAGTTATTTACTTCTTCAGTAGCATTATAACGAACTTGTTGTTTATAAACTTCGATTCGGTTTCTGACTATTTGTTCGCCTTTTAGGTTAGTATCTTGGAAGTTCCAGAAAAGTGCATCTTGTTATAGCCATTTCTATAGACATAACACCTGTATTTACGGTTATAAAGATTTAAAAGTTTTAAAAAACGATCGTCATTTATTTGCCAATAAAGTATTACCGTCAGTTGACTACACTGGAATTGTCTGTTGGGCCAAATATTTAGCTCATCGAGCAACTATCAAAAGCCATGAACAGTCTATACCACTTAAAATTTATGCTAATATGCCAGCGGTACGATTCAATAAAAAGAGGACTTTCTGGAAAAAAAATTTAAGCAAATTTAATTGTGCCACCGGTAATTAATTTTGTAAAAGTGCTTATGTTTTGACAGTTTAGGCTGCATATCTCAGTGTAAAATTTCAATTGTTGTAGAATAAAAACTTTGCAGAAAACGTGATAGTTTCTCTGTAGAAAATCTATTGTAGTCTTTCTGACAAATGTAACTGTATATTTAGTCTTTTTTTTCTCTATTTTCACTTTATTTTCTTGTTGTTGCAAATGTATCTTTCGCTATCGGAATTTGCGAACATATTGCAAATATATATTCAAACCCATAACCAAAGAAAAATTTGTATTTTCAAAAGTGTTTTACTATTCCATTTGTGCAATAAAACTGTAACTTCTTAATTTTTTTTAGTGTAGAAGATTATATTATTTCACGGTATGAAAAACCAAGATTTTTTAAGTTATCTGTTATTGCAAAACTGAATAGGCGTTTTTTTCTACTTTATACTCCACTTTTGATCTAAACAATTTTTGTTCAATAGTAAAGAAAGAGGATAAGAGAAAAGTGACACAGTTTATGAAGTGATATTGCCTCTATCAAATACGCTATCATTCTTTGCTGTTTACATCTTTTTCTATAATTTTCTTGGAAGCAAGCTGTTCTGCTTTTTGAAGCCTTTTTTACATTTACTGCTTAACAGCCTATCTCAACGTCCTAGCAAGAAGACATTTTAGAGGAATAGGTAAGCAAAATGTGTGCAAGAATCAAAAATCAGAGAGGACATTGAAAAATATTATAATTTTGATAATTTTGAGCAGTAGTGTGAAAAACCTAAAGCTGTTACAGAATCAGCCTTGTAGCTAAGAGGAAAAAACTGAGAAAACTACTGTCAACCAAAACAGAAGTAGCAGACAGATGCAACTTTTTGTGGGCTGAATGTTGCAGCGTATAATTTTTATTTTCAAGCACTGGAAGCATCTGGTGCTGCGCAGGTTGCAATTTTTACTACTAAAATTTTATAACACAGCTTGAAGTTTTTTGGCATAAAATTATAGCAGCTATTGTTAACTAAATTATTAGGTGTAATTGAAGATATATAAAATGTAATAAAAATAAATCTTTTCAAGAATTCCGAAAATTTTTTGCAGGCAAGTAACACTAGTGAAATATAATAATTTTTGTTTCCTCTCTTACTTTAGTAACGGTTTTACATAAGCTATAGTTATTGTTGAAAAAGATGACACACAGGCTAACCAATTTCTGACCGAGCAGTCGTTTAGCAGATTTTTGATCTTTAATTGTTTACTATACTTTTAAAACTGTTTTAAGATTGCATAAACAAGTGAAACTTCAATTGGTCATTTGTTAGTAAACATTTAGCGTTTCAAAGTTACGAAAATAATAAGGCATCTGAGTTTTTGGTCAGAAATAGTTTGAAAAAAGAGTACTAAAATATGTTCAGAAAGTGCTGCCGCCAGAAAAAAGCATAGTTTATAGCGAAAAATGGCAGTTTCTGGCTGTTTTAGTACTGCTATTCGGCAGTATTTCTTATCACTACGCAATTAGTTTACTTCTACTAAATATTTTGGTATACTGCTGTCTGTATGTCAGTTTCAGTTGTCGCTGTCAATAAGTGTAATCAAAAAAATTAGAAGAGTTAAAAAAGGCAGAGAAAAAACTTCGCTTTACAATCTTCTGAACTCGTGGTAGTTTAGAAAATTTGGAATGTCTACAAGCTTTGACCCACCAATGAAACATACTGATATGAAAAATATCAAGTTCTCCGAAATGATTATTTTTAAAATATTTTTATACAGTCGTCTAACTTGAGAGTTTCAGCAAAAGTAAAGTAGACTAAGAAAGACTAAAAACCTAAAAAAAGTTTCTTTCATTTGAGAATTTTCTAAAAGAATACAAAGATATTTAACAGCAGTTATAATAGTTTATCAAAAAGGTGTTGGTGTTTTTAGATAAAAACACGAAATTTCTTGTAGATAACTTGAAGCAGTTGCAGCACGTTCTGTTTCAGATCGTACTGTTGGTTGAGTAAGAGCTCTAGAAGGCTTTGCTAAAGCTCTTTTTGATTGAAGAATTCGCTTCAAATATTTTGTTCACTGTTATGCAGGTTCTTTTTGACTGTTCTCATTTATAAATGAAAGTTTTTGCGCACTACTGAAATTGACTTGTTTTTTCCTTTTCGACGAGTTTAGCGCTATCACATTAAAAGATTTTTTTCCTCTTTTTCCTTTTCTTTTTGCAATGAGAAGCGACAGAAAAGATTTAACAGTTGTGAGATTAAACCTGAGCTGAGGAGGATTTTGGTGGAACGACAGACGAGAGTGGCAAAGACAACTGTACTTATCGTTATGCTTGTTTTTATAAGGTGTTTTTCTCTGAATTTGGTTACAACAATAGAACAAAAAGTTTCTTTTTTTGGCAAAAATAACTTTGTCAAAAAACGTTTTTACAGCTCTATAGTTGTAGAATATATCATTTCGTTAGACCGGTGTCTCTTGTTTAGATGATATGCCAGTTTTACCGCAAACGCTGTACAACGAATTGTGTGAATGTGTGTTTATCATGGCTGTCTTTTGTATCCGTCTTTTTCTTCCACCTCAGAGGAAGTTCATTATATTGTTTCTATAGCGCTTCTGCAGGGCTATTTGAGAAAACTGAAGGCTCTATGTTTTCCAGACCTGTTGAAATTTTTTTTGCCGATTGGTGAGAATATGTTTAGAAAAGAGCATTATTAAGTTTTTTCTTGAAAGATGATTCTTTATTAATTAAATATAAAGTAGTTCAAATATTTGTTTTGATATTTTTACGAAATCCCTAAACAGATTTTTAGTATGTAAAGATTACAAGAATATTGGAAAAAAAATTGAAAAGAAAGTCATTTACAAATCTTGATTTGGATAAAACTGAAAAACAAAATAATAAAAAAAACTACATGTAGCAGGTTGAATTTTACTCTCCAGTTTATAACTGTACCTTCAAATGATGATTTTGAACAGCGTATCTCATTGCAGTTTATAGAATAGTTTACCAGCTTTTATGTCTGAAAAAGTAAAGAAAAAATTTTTATATGCAGTAAAATTTGAATCAGTGGTTTTCACCAGATATTTCATTGCTTAGTAAGCAATGTAAGACAACTTCATGAGTCAAGGTCGAGTGATTAAAATCAAGCATAGAGGTTTGCTAAACTGTTTGGTAGACCAGCACGCATATACTAAATTTATTATGTAATCTTGTCTGATACGTTATAAGTACTTTACTTGTCGCAAAATAAAAACTTCATTACCCTAGAAATGGTTTTTATTACTCTTACGGCGTAAAACTCAAAAAATATTTTTTTTTAAAAGCCACCTATGTAAGGCACTTAAAAGTGTTCTTGAAAGTCACTGTTTGTCATAGCAGCGAAGTTGGAATATTACTAGTAATTGTTCAAGGGCTTCATCAAAATAAGTCGACATTTTACCATTCTTTAACAAGGTGTTCAGATGCTTTAAAATCAGGCCTTTCTAAATTTTTATCTTTATTCGCAAATGCCCTAGTTTTTTTCTGTCTGTACCAAACATTTATGATTTATAAAATGCGTGAAGTCAGAACTGGTGAAAACAGTGTAAATTATGTGGTTAGAGTTTAGTAATTAGTTAGACTAACTTTTGCTTTTTTTCTAAAATTTTTAACAACTTAAAAAATTTGGAAACAAAAAAAAATATGCATAAAAAGAGCATAATTGTAAGCAGTTGCCAGTATAGCTGTTAGCCGATCAAAAATGCTGTATTTTATAGTAATTGTGCTTTTCTAATTATATGTCGATTAACCAAATAAAAGATGTAGTAAAAACTCAGTAAATAAGTAAGTGGAATAATATTATTAAAGATGGTTGTTGAAAGGTACCTTAGATGCATAATGCTACAGCAAAAAAATAGTTTAAAATTTTAAAACCGCTTAAGAAAATATCTGATCAGTTACAGATCACGTAACAATTTGAAACTAATGTAACTTTATTATACTAGTAATACAGTAGTAAACCTTAATACAAAAATAAGCAGTATAATTTCGGTTGTAGGAAAAATTTATCTTGTTATTGAAGTAATTCAGTGATTTAGACAAGCTATACGATTTTGGTTAATTTTTAAGCGCTCTTGTAGCGCTGGATGTATACCAGTAACATCTGTTAGTAATTTCTGAAAAATTGCAAAAACAGCATCTCTTTCGTATTACAGACTGTACATTTAAATTAATATAAATGTTTATTTTCAGTTCTAATTTACCAAAACTCTTTTTATCTTTCAATCAAGTACAAATGTTGTTGATTTTTCACGTTTGCACTCACAGAAAAGACTTTACTTTTAATGCATCATAAAATAATTCTTTATGCAGCTGACAAAAAAGCATTTCATTTTCAAAAACTGAAAATAATTAAGATAATTGCCAGTTCTTTTTTTTCCCCCTCTTCTTTCAATTACTTTTTACGAAGAAAGGCTCAGTCGTTGTAGCCATAATTTTTGCAGCTGCATTTAATCTGACTTTAAAGCAACAAGATTATGCGCTTTTTTTCACTTGTTTTAAAATTTTACCACAGTACAACTTTGTTTATTATTTATTCTGTATTTTACTGCAAATTATCAGATAGCTGCAATAAGTGTATTACAAGAGTTAAAATAATTATCAAAAGTTTTATGATAAGAGTATAATTTTTGTATTGAATTTTTGATATTTTTTGCCTGAATTATTATGCGTATTATTACTTTTGCAGGAGCGTCGACATTTATTTAGCTTCCAGCTTTTCTTCTTTGTTTAATTTTTAGAACATTGCAGGAAATAAAAAGCAGTTATTTAAATTTTTTATTTATAGAAAAAACTAAACTTTTCTTCTGGATTTTAATCTAATGAGAAACAAAATTTTTGTGGTTTACACGGTATTATGGATACTTGCCGAAATCGAACTGTCGACACCTGTTTCAACTGTACTAGATACCTCCGATGAATATGATTACAACTACGTTAACGACATAAATTTTGCTGAAGATGAAAATGATGATTTCAGTGGTGAACATGGCAGTGGTGAAATGGGTAAGTGACTCAAAAAAAAAA